ACATTGCTTTTATTAAATTTATACTTTTAGTTTGTAAATGCTTGTATCTCCGTAAAGTGAAGCCATTCACCATCTTTCATTACGGTGATAATATCACCATATGGTTTGTTCACGCATCTAATCTGAATATATTGTTCATTATCTGGAGGACCTCTATACCTTGCACAAACATTATCTCCAACTTTGATCGTCAAATCCCTCAGTCGAGCCCCTAAAATAAATAATATTTCAATAAAACCTATGGCTATTAGTAATGCTTCAATAAATATATTCAAATATTTTAACAAAAAATCCCATGAAGAAGTAAAAACCACAATGTTGAAAAACTAGAAACAAAGAGAGCAAATATAAAAATGATCTAGAAATCGAAAATTCGTCTTATCATCTTTTTATCTTTTCGTCTTGTTGCTAACGTCTTGTCGTCATGTCTCTAGCGATGCACGCCAAACGGCGCGTTGTCGTGCTGCGCGATTTTGCGCTGTCGCTTGGCTTATCAGCAAAACCTTCGTTTGAACCGAGAGACAATGTGACATCGCGACAACGCACCGCAAGACAACACGCCATTTGGCGTATATCCTTAGCAAGAGCGCACAAAAGCGTTCCAAATCAGCTACAATACAATGTAGAACTTCAATTAAGAAACGTACATAGGCTCGATGTATGGTAAGTTTTTAGATTGGTTGTGTGAGTACGAATTATCCTTTGCAACAATAATTTCTAAGGCATTTCGTTTCTTTTACAGATCTATTTCACGAAGTTTTCTTGTGCATATGAAACAAGTTTTATTTTTGTAGCACTTTCTCCATTTAAAATTACATTCAAAGCGTAAATCTATATTGTGTTTATTATATGTTTGTCCTCAAAGGCCAAATATAATAAAAGGCCAAGGACATACTGAAGTTTCGTTTTTCACAAAACCGTTTTGTCCAAAGGGTTGAAACAAATAAATATGAATGAAAAACCTTCTTTATGTAGCCAATTCATGAAAATTTAATGATTTGACTTACAAGGCAATTTAAAGGTCATGCGTGTATCATAATTTGTTCGCAGGTTAAGATACATGTAACAATTGGGGTCCTTTTGTTTTTTGGCCCTTTTCAAAATCATTTCATTTAATGATATATCTTTTTTTTAAACAGACATTTTTGGAAACGTTTTTCCCCTTTAAATTTAAACCCAAATCCTTTTTAAAAATAAAAAAACTGTATGACTATTTGGAAAAAATCAAAATATTTTGGTCATAGAAAATCGATAAATTCATTACCTTTTTTGGGGATAATTTATTTTTTTATCTAAAGGTTAATTAGTGCCCAATAAAACAAAGCAAGCAAAGATAACAAAATGATCATTTCACCTTTTTGGGTAGAACATGATTGCTCAACATGATTGTTTTAAATTTAATTTTTCGTTGCCCAATACAAATAAATGATAAAAATTTCGGGACAATTTTAACGAATTTAATAAACTCGAAATAAATTCTATAAAGTCAAGATAAAATTGAGTTTATTTATTTTTTTTAACATTCTGTAAATAAAACATACAAAAATCAATATATAAAAAAGGTACAGTCAATAATCAATTTCATAAACTTAAGAAAAAATTAAAAATTATTATGCCGATTCCCAAAAAAGACGAGGTTAAAAATAAAAACCCTTGCAATCACTACCCCAAAAACCCCCATATACCCTTTTGCGGGGATAAACTTTAAAAAAAAAACACTTTTCAAAAAAGCTACATTTTTAATTTTAAATTTTAAAACATACCTTACAGAAAAACACTTATTAAAGCTAGTCAAAAATTTGTCGTTAATTAAAAATACCACAAATTTATAATGTCGACTAAGGTTTTACGGACATATTTTATTTTGTTTTAAAAAAAATTTTTGGAATTCATTTCTCTACTTACAAAATAATCAAAATCCGTTTTACAAAACTTCCTTTTTTCTAAAACGGTTTCTTTAAATCACCAAAAAAACAACTGCACAAAAAACTTACCGAACAGTCAGCTTCGTTCGTTTTTTCTTCTTCGTACTTGACTTATAGAACAGACTCGAGTCTTTTCTATTATAAAGTACATTCGACAATATAATATTTCTAATCAGGTTTTACACGAAACATGCTGAACATCATTTGTGTCGCTGTGGTATAGGAGATTATATGTTGTTTCCAATGATAACCATCTACAGCATGATTACTGGCCCTTGGCCATATAAAGACGGAGCTACATGTTACTTGTCGGTATCCAATAATAAGATTACTACAAGAAGCTAAAAATGTAGCAAACAATAAATTTTGACCCGTCCCAACACTGTTGCACAAATCAAATAATTACGGGCATATATCACACATTGGAAAAAAAAATTCTCTGAACATTCTTCTTTTTTTAAAAAAAAGTTTGTCTTTTAAGAAGGCTTAAACCTTCAGAGATTAAATTTTTTGTTTGTTTTTTTTTTCCAATAATTAGACATTAATAAATTAATTGATTAATTGATTAATTTTTACACTGGTTGCATGGACTGTAGTAGCAATCGCCATCAGCAATTATCAAAACCAAAACGAGGCAGATATTGATTTAATCATGTTTAATTGCTAAATAGATATCTTAATAAACAGAGAAACGACTAAGCTCCTACAAGGACAAATATAATTCAAAAAATAGAACACCAGCCGTCGTCTGTTAGGACAACGACTATTAATAATAGTAAAAAGTACAACACCTTAAACGTTGCTTCATATTTTATCTGTTCATGCAAGTGTTTCACATTGAGGTTATTGAGTTAATTTAACATTGCTTACGATACAAAGGTGTGCCAGATTTTGCACCCTTTGTTATCTCATTAACACACACTCAGGGTTTTTCTCCTCCAGACTTCTATCAACACGACATTTATAACCCCTTTATAAACGTTATAGTTTTATGTCCGCCTTTTTTACATTCTGATTGTAAAACTGACTATGGATCAACACTTCTCCATACAATGTATTATATAAAAAACTTAAAGACGTTTTCGGTAGTTTTCTGTGCGGATCGTTATGCGCTTCCAAGAAAGATAATCACGGATTAATTACTCTTCAAATGAAGGTCAAGTTGAATAGTATTCGGATAAGTGTTTAAATTTCGGCTATAAGCAAATAATGAGTTAAATAATACAGAATAGATATTTCTAAATGTGTTCAAAAAGGAGATCGGTTCAAAAGAATAAGAGGTCGTTTAGACAACATCACATAAAGGATTTCTCCAAGCATTAGTACGACAGCATTGATGATAATTCTGCGCGCGTTACCCCACCCACTTGTGGTATAGTGACGAAAGTGCGTGACAGCGTCGCGACTTGATTACTGGCAGACATCTGGGCAAAAAAGTTTAAAATGATATATTTTAAAAATGTTGAATAAAAAAACAAAATTAATATCTAAGAAATCTTCCGAATTTCATTATTTTCTTTGTAAATTTATGAATACTTGCTTACTGTTCGGGTATGTTAGTCGAGTGAAAAAAATAATATGGCCCTAGATATGTTTTAAAAAGATATTCAGTATCATTTACTTAATATAACATCAAAAGAAAAAGAAATTTTTATTTCATGTTTTTGTTGTATATTTGACAATACATTTAGTATATATAAAACTGATATTTCTTAAGAAAGCGTGGTAATTATGACAGTTGGCATATGCGGTAACCATGGAAACAGCCCGTTTACAAAAAACAAACACGTCAACATATATATTTTATTTCTATTTTTGAATCCATCATCAAATGTTACTTGATATATCAAAAATGTAGAAAATTCTATGAAATAAATTTCTTGATAGCTTTAATTTTTTACAGAATTCATGTTTATTTTTCTCATTTTTTGTTTAGTTAAAAAGCATGAAAACTTATTTTTTTAAGAAATATGTTCCAATTATCGTTTGTTTTATACAGAACCCTAAGATAAATCAAGCTTTGTATAAAATTATGTTTATTGTGAGTGTAATAAGCTATTTTATACATTATTATAACACAGTTTGGCTATTTTGACAATTTTGAGATATACGGTTACCATGGAAACTGCCATTTTACAAAAAATCCAACACGCCAACATATATTTTTCTTTTTCTTTTTGAATTTGTCATTAAATTTTACACAACATATAAAAAAATAGAAAATCCTATGAAACACTTTTTTCAATATCTCTAATTATTCTCAGAATTCATATTTATTTTTCTCATTTTTTGTTCGGTTGAGGAACATGGAAAACTCATTTTTTAAAGAAATATGTTCAGATTATCATTTGTTTCATACAGAATCATTAGATAAGATTATCTTTGCATAAAACAATGCTCGTTGTGTGTTTTAAGCTATCTTATACATTTTCTATTCGTTATAACACAGTTAGGCTATTTTGACAGTTTTTAGATATACGGTTACCATGGAAACTGCCATTTTACAAGAAATCCAACAAGTCAACATATATTTTTCTTTTTATTTTTAAATTCGTCATTAAATTTTACTCATCATACAAACAATTTAGAAAATTCTATGAAAGGATTAATTTTTCATAAAACTGTAGAAAATGTCTTTAAATTGGTATTCTTCGTACATTTTCAACGTTATTTCATTTATCTTTAAACTCTAAAGTAAGTACAAAAAAAGAAAGCTTATGTAAACAATTTAACAAAACAATATATTACAAAGAAGTTTCGGCTATTCAACTTTGCATGAAACAAATTGAATCATGTTTTGACGCATCTGTTAATTTGAGATGTATGTATTTGATAAAGAAAACGATAAAGTAAATGATTAAGTTTTGCTCAAGTCAGAAATAATATCGTGACTCTATCTGTTATTGTATATATATATATGTGTAACTTGTATATATATATATATATATATATATATAATATGTGTGTGTGTGTGTGTGTGTGTGTGTGTGTGTGTGTGTTTTAACTATGTCATAGTTGTCACAAATGTATTCATATATTTATACATTGGTTGATGTCGATGTGCTGTACATGCATAAGACTGAATAAATTTTCTGTTCTGTTCTGTTCTGTTATTACTTTACAATAAGGCAATCCATAGATCAAAAATATATTATTAAAGGCCAGATCTTAATTAAACTATAGATATATTCATGCACCTGTTATTTATCTGTGGCTGATTTTAAAATATTTAAGCAAACTTCAAATAACTTAAAAAGATAAATATGAAACATATTGTCAAGAAACAACTTACGATCAATCCCTTGGCAGTTGTCAATATAATCTTTCGGACATTCACATTTAAACTTGTTTAATTCATCTATACAGTAACCAACTCCACACGGGCTAGATAAACATTCATTTATATCTGTAAATAACAACATATTAGAAATAAATCTTTAAATATCGTACTAACAATTCATTCATAATTTCATTTTTGTATTTTCTGATCGCAAGATCAGTAAATACATAGCTAACATCCACGGTGTAACACAAAATTTCCTAACAGTCCTAACAACGCAAAGTAGTTCTTACTCAAAACTGCTTAAAAACCAGCAATTTAAAAGACAGAATAATTTTTAATGTAGGCATTTAACGAATTACAGTGCATTGAAAGTTCAGATTAGTCAATAGAAATATGAGGTTACAATCACAAATTTCGCGGATGAATATCATTTTAATCAATGAAAATGCTATTTTTAGCTATGTCGATTACTGAATACTCCAGGGCGTAGTATACAAATAAATCTGACTGCCGAGTAGTGGAATATATACATGTCGGACTGTTTTGGCGAAATTATTTTTATCAGTGTTAAACAGGTTTATCGTGAACAAAATACCTCGAAATTGATATTGTTTGGTTTTATTAACCTGTCAATTACATACTGATTACGCGGTCGATGCACACAGTATGTTAATCTTCGGTAGATGTTCGGTAAGTTCCGTGAGAAGTACGCTGTACGATAGGATTTAATTTAATTTGTATCTCTAAACTAAGTGTACTCAGCGTTATAGCGCCATAGGGTAAATCACGAGTTTATAATCTAAGTGACACATGTGTTTTAAGTTCGAGGCCTCGTTGGTCCATGTTTTTTTTCTTATTAATACTTTCAACATTATTGAATCTATATATGATTATTTTATGTTGTTCGTTTTGTTTGATTATGTTTTACTTAATTTTGTTATGCATATACTCTTTTTAAAAAACATGTTTTTTTAAGAATTCATGTTTAAAATTAAAACGGATTAAAATCAATAAATGTCATTTCAATGCCGTAAAACACACTACAAATCTGTTCTATTAAAATATACTGCAAAAATAGAGAAAGAGTACTAAAACATTGACAACAGTAAGAATCGAACCACAGACCTGTCAATTATCAGACATTCTCTTTACCGACTGTCCTGTTGTGAATTAAGGAAAACTTTCACATAAAGCTGGCGTGACTTTCAATCGATGACTTATATACTCCACATTAATTCTCGTAAACTACACGGACCAAACCGAAGTGGGATCGAATATTTAAATGAGTCCTATAATGTATTCAAAATTGACAGGTCAATAAAATCAGACTATAAGGATTACAAACACGAAATGGAAATTCTCAATTTAGAATTACAATGTATTTGTTTTTATTCAGGCTACATATTACGTATTACTTCACCGTGGTGCAGGGGTATCGCGCTCGTATCGCGCTCGTTTAGGGTGTGAGAGGCCTAAGGTTCAAATCCTAGTCGAGGCAACTTTTTTTTTAAGTGTCTTTTTTAAGGAAGTAGCCACGATATGCAAGGATAAAGTGTGGCTGTCATAAAAAATGATTTTTGATGCAACTCTAGTCATGCAAAATTCCATATGTATCAATCTCAAACTGTTATAGAAAAAAATCTTAACGCAGTCGCTGCGTAAGATGAATTATAGTATATAAAAATAAACCTATATAGGAAAATACATACAGATAGTATGATTTAGATTGCAAAGATCAGAAAATACCACAGAGCTTGCAGCCCTTTGATTCATTTTATTCATTTGGCTAAACTATGATAGACGTGAAAGACTATTCGTGTAAAGTCACGTCGACGTTAGCGGTTAGATAAAGAAATAATTGTTTGAACCACACTTTACTATATATTGGACGCTCTAGTCATATGATGCATAACTGCCTTAAATATTGTACAAATCATCGTGGCTTTCAAAACATATTGCTGCTTTTTTCTTCACGGCACTTTTACACTTAAAGATATTTGGCAATATTCCAATTTTCTCAGTGAAAACGCTTTCCGGTTATGTTGACATGTATAATTAAGAGCAATGAAAATCAGAAACAGAAAACAATACTTCAGAAACCAACAATTTAATCAGCATAGACATTAAACAAACATAAACGTTCGTTCAAGAAAACGCCATCACATTATTCATCACGGACTCAAAAAAATATCGGGGTAGAAAAGAGGCATTTCTGTTTCCACAACCGACACTATCCAAAAACAGGAAATTGAGACTGGGTGAAAGTCCCCCTCGGTCTTTATACACCTAGCAAATTCAAGACCGATGTGCCCAAACGTAATAAATTATATTTTTAAATTTGATTTGACATCCAACAGAGATCGAACGTTGATGTCCATACTTAAGGTTCCTGAATTGACGAATAGAAACTGTCCGCTAAAACACTCAAAAGAAAATATCAATGAACAATATGCAGGCATGAGTCTTTCTCGAAAAAGAGAGCCTCTCGTAACTGTTTGGGACCTGAAGACAACATAGTCACCGTTCATGTTTAAATAGCCCAGAGGGGCGATTATTCAAACAAGGTTGGACAATTTGCCCTTTCCGGGTTATATGAAATTGAGGACTGCGTCAAATCTATGCAGGTCCCTCACACTGAGTTCAGTAGACAATGCCCGAAAGGATAGAATTGGAGAGGTCTTAAAATAACATGTACAAATGATAAAAATATCTAAATATATCTTTATATCAGGCCCCAACTTTTTCTGGTTATAATAAGCATACATACAAGGGTGGTGATAGACTAGCTTTTGTAACTGAGTAAAATTATTTCGCTTTTTACTCAATAAACATACAAGAATGTGCGACAATTGAAGACATGTACATAATAAGTACGGAAAGTGGTCTATGACTGACAGGAGGGAAGTAAAAGAATACAGACCAACAAGGAAAGGCAGCATTCAGGGAAAGCAGCCCCGTACAAAACCAAATAACACCAAACCACTGGCATGGAATCCAGCGAGGCACCAAACAAATGCAGGGGCGATACTTGTAATAGCACAGAAGCTTCATATTCAGTTAATAAATAAGAATTAAAGTGTACCCACTATATAATGAAAAACACAAGGAATGCAACGAAAAATAAATAATACATGTATTCGATCCGAATCTGCACTACCTGTATCACAATGCTGTCCTTCCCATCCAGATTTACACTGGCAACTGTAACTATCACCATCTTCTATACAGCAGCCGTGGACACAAGGGTTTGGGTTACAATGACTAGTTTCTGAAAGGTTTAATTTGCAAACTGATAATAACTGAAAACAAAGGCAAAACTATCTGTATTCCTCATTAGGATATGTTTTATTTGGATTACAGACACTTCATTTTACAAAAGTCAAAGTAAATCATTAACTTAAAAAATGTGGAAGTTTTTTTTTAATTACCGCTTTTACATTCACAATGATCGCCGAAAAAGCCTCCTCCGCATTCACAAAAAAGTCCAGTTTTATTCCATTTACACTGGCTAAAGTCTTCGCACAAACCTACAGGATATAAAAAAAAAATTAAATGTATTTCAAAGGTCATCGTCGGATACCCACGGCCTAACTATTTACATTTGGGCCGCGTCACGACAAAACCAACATAGTGCGTTTGCTATCAGGATGGATCCATACCAGCCTGCGCATCTGCGCAATCTGATCAGGATCCATGCTGTTCGCTATCAGTTTCTTTACTTGTTATAGGGTTTGTAAGCGAACAGCATGGGTCCTGATCAGACTGCGCGGATGCGCAGGCTGGTCTGGATCCATGCTGGTCGCAAACTCACTATGTTGGTTTTGTCGTGACGCGGCTCATTTTTACATGTTATGTCATGTTACATGTTAATCAACATGGGTATCTAACGCCGTTCTCACAGGTAATTTTTGTCACTGTTTCTTTAACGACAGACCCAGCAGTATGATTGAGGTAGAGAAGTAATTTCTGAAAGTAAGAGGTGAAATATCTTTAAAAAAGAATAATTTGTCTTTTATTTGATTGTCCTACTTTAAATATGCAAGCGTTATCTTGTTGTGTTGGCAATTCGTTAAATTTCTAACTGTAAAAAATAAAACATTCTTTGTTAAAATAAAATTGTAAAACAATGAAAGAATTTTCTTTAAATGTAAATTATTCATGTTCATCTTACATCTCATACAAATTTTCGGCCCGTTTCTGTCAACACAGGCATGTTCTATCAATCCATGTTCTGCACACTGAAATTATAAAATTACTTATTAAAATAATGCAAAACAAGAAAGAATAAGCCAACAGAAGAAAATACTAGGAAACTATGCTTGAAGCAATCAAAAAGGTTAGAAGACCACCCAACGTATGTTTTACTGCCAAATATCAAAACCCTCAGTTATTTTTTTAGAAAATTGTGCAGAAGAATAAACATTTATCATGTAACCTTAACCATGACGTAAATGATCCCTTGCTCTGCCAAAGTGTTAGGACCAATGTGGATATTTACCTACGATATGTGAAAGACAACAGTGAATAAATGAAGGCTGACATAACAAAAGTTTATAAAATATTTTGAAGCACCGGCGACCGTAACATTAATGCTTTTGTATCCCACCCAAAGTAAGAGAACCACCTAAAGTATTACCTACTAAATATATAATATATTAAGTCAATAAAAAAATGCCCCAACGCAATTCCATATGAACATATTGGTAAAAACTGATATATACACATATAGAAACTTGTAGTGGAATTAAATTATAACAAAGTATATTTTCATTTAAACGTTCTACGAACTTAGTGATTTGGGTATTAAGTAAAGTAGTCACTTGATGCCGACCCTCTGCCGGACAAGACCATATACCGGACGTTTTTCCCTTTTTCACGTTTGGTTATAAAATGTCCCAGTGACATAGGAAATGTTAACATATTCTTGTTTATCATTCACAGCATAAAAAGTGATTTTCTATTTTTTTTTCATCTCACTCGTAAATCTCAATTATACTTAATCACCGAAGCAATATTTTCTACTTCCGCATTTGTATGTGTATAACTGCTCATGCGTTGGTTTTATTACTTTCGTGGGTTTAAATCATTTTTTTTTCAGACGAATGTAACGGAACCTCAATATACTTTGTTGTTGATCTTGTTGCACTACAATTTTTTTTTCAATAATTCTTACGATTATTAAATATTGCATTATGTCAGAAATGGTGTAAACATTTTTAGACTATAATAATCTGTGATATTAAAAAAAAGAAAAGATGAAATAACTAGAAATATTTTATTAAAGATGAGGTTTCGTGTTAGCACCGTATTTATTATGCTATGCAAGAACGTGTTTTTTATTAATGGGCCTAATTCAAAGTGCTGTTCAAAATATAGAAACAGAGGAACAACCGCCTATAAAGAAATACGAGGTATTATCAAAAGGTCCTCGGCCCGATATACTTCTAGCCATTACACTGACTACGTCGATACCGATATCTTATTGAAGATTACTTACCGACTTAATCGCGGTTTTACAAAGATTAAGGTACATAAAACACACTTTGATCAGTAGAGGGATGTGTCATTTAGACCCAATGGGGGACAGTTAAAATATGAGCCGCCATTAAGTACTTCTGTAAGAAAGGGATGTCCCCAATCAAATTTATGAAGACTTCATGGATACACTTGGGAAGGAGTCCCCTTCCTATAACATAGCACTGTGAAAAAAATGGGCAGCTGAATTTAAGTGGGGCAGAAAGAGCATTGAAGATGATGAGCGGCCTTGGCGGCCAAAAGAAGCCACCAACGATGAAACTGCCAAAGCTGTGGACGATCTGGTCATGTGCGACAAAAGGCAAGACTTGTGAAGCATTGCTAGGGAAGTGAGTATATGCTTTGGTTTAGTTCACTCACAGGCAATTCTGACTGATGTCTATGGCATGTCAAAGGTTTCCGCTAGATGGGTCCCTAGACAGTTTACTGACGACAAGAAACGGACAAGGCTTGACATTTCAAGATATCTTTTGTCTCGATACAAGGATGAATTGAGAAGTCTGCGTCAAGAAATCGCGCGTAACAGAAGGGGCAAATTGACTCAAGGCGTTCTGCTCCTGCACGACAATGTGCCAGCTCACACATCGAAAGTTGCAATGGCTGCTGCAACTAACTGCGACTTTGAAATTCTTCCTCATCATATTCTTGGCCCTTTTTCACCGAAACTGAAAGCCAAGCTTCGTGGTAAATGGTTTGGAAGCAATTAAGGTGTCATGGAGATGGTCAATAAGTTCTTTTAGGACCAAAATAGGGAGTTCTATTTTGAAGGGTTAAACAAGTTTGAGCACAGGTGAGCGTAGAGGGCGATTATATTGAAAAATAAGACCATAAGTTTTATTCTCTGACTACCGGAAATCATCGGGCCAAGAACTTTTCGATCAATCCTCGTATATCAATTTAGAGGATGCATATGTTTGTTTGTAAAATCCGATATCATTAAATATATTCAATTAATTACCAAATGATTTCGTCTGGTAGATGGTCTATTATTTTTAAAATAAATTACTCATTTTGTCCCCTATTAGGGTCACAGTGTTCGTTTAATTCAGACCGTTTAACAAACGAAAATGGTAAAAGTCTTCAAAGGTGAAAAGATATTGAACAAAACTTTATCCTGAAAAAAATTCATATTGCTATCGTGTTTTATTTGTTAATCCCACTGAAAAATGTTCGCATTTTGTCAGATGGATGGTCGGAATGCAGATAATTTAATAGTTTCAAAGTATTTTCTCCCGAAAGCAATTATTTTCCCGGGCACTTGAACCAAAAAATATATACGACCGTGACGGCTCTTAATCGCTCACATGTGTAGATGGTTCAAACGACATTGGTAGAAACATCTTTCTTACATTTTAATGTGCAGGGGTTGGTGTATTAAAAGAATACCATTGTTTAATTAACACCTTTCTTCTTCTTATTATTATGTAATGGACTCTATACAAAGTATATTTTCACTGAACAAAACTTTAGATGGTAACTGGAATTTCTTTTCAGTCTATTTTATGAAATGACTGAAATAAGTGCACATCGATTTGCGTGTTTAAATTGTTTCTATACATTATGTGCAGATGTTGATTATAAACTTAGCAAACTGTGCCAGGTAATAATTTTCTTCTACAAACATCCTCGATTCTGAAAAAAATTATTTTGAACTGAATACTACATTATGGATGATAAAGTTTTATTAGTCTTTACCATGTTGTTTAACTTGTTATTTCTTGGTTTGATAATGGACTTATAATTGCAAAATTTTATACAAAATTTTCAGACTTTCCATATTTATTGAACTGATAAATATTGTCTTTTGTTTAAATTAAAAGTAATAATGCACCAGTCATTTTTGGTAAAGAATTCAGTTGCATAAAATACTAAGTATTTACATCTTTTTTAAATTCAAATTTAACAAGATACAAAACATTTTTTTTTTTTAAAAAATCAAAAGAGCCATACTCAACTTAATTACCTGTAATTATTTTGTTTACATGTATATGATTTTCTTTGTAAATAATGCTAATTGTTTGTCTTTATGTACTTGTCATACTTTGTAAATGTTAGCAATTGTCCCTTTTTGTGTCATCATGCATTTTGCTACTGACTTAATATAAAGTTTATAGGAAACAATTTTTACTTATCGGCACTAAAAATACAATCTCTCAAACTTTCAAGACACATTTCCCGTAGTAATCTTAATCATTAACGCTGCACCAACACTCTTATTATGATACCCATTGATTCATTTTTTATTCATTTTTTTATAAGTTTCATTTTAATGTACCTGCAAAGCACGGGTATTTTCGTGGAGGATGTGACACATAAAACATATATATCCTCAGTTCTGTCTCTGATAACTTACTTATTAAATGTGTTAGATACCATCCCCCATGATATCGTTTATGCATGCAAATAAGACAGTGTCAGCAGACAGAACTTGGAAGCAATGACAAATACACATTTTGGAAATCATCACCCTTTTTTACTCTGTACTTATAGCTTCCTCAATGGCTATCAATAATTTACTTTTTGCTGGGAGACGTTATCCTAATCCTGGTCCATTCTGTTGAAAGCAACTCTAGCACCGACCTCCATCTTTTGCATCTTCTACTTCTGAGA